TCGATGGGCCGAGGCGGAGTCTGGGACTCAGAGGCTGGAGGCGGCGGCAAGGGATCCTCCAACCATGCAGACGAGCAGACCCGCGGTGCGAGCACCGAACAGATGGTGGGCTGAGTGTGAGCAGAGGGGCTGCCAGACGACAGCGGTGGAGGATGCAGGAGCGAAGCCCTCTCTGTGTTGGACTCAGGGACAGGAGCCCTCTCTGGGCCTAATTCAGGAACAGGAGCCCTCTCTGGGCTAAACTCGGGAACTGAGGCTCTCCCTGGGTCATACGTGGGAACCGCAGCCCTCTTTGGGCTGGACGTGGAAACAGGAGCCCTCCCTGGGCTGGACATGGAAACAGGAGCCCTCTCTGGGCTGAACTCAGGAACAGAAGCACTCTCTCGACTCTGGTCAAGGGCTGGAGCCATCACTTGACTCTGGTCAGGGTCTAGAGCCATCTCTCGACTCTGCTCAGGGGTTAGAGCCAACAGTCCTTTCCTCCTCATTCTCCTCTTTTGGGCTGAGGTGAAGGAGATAGCTGCTGTCATCATAGGGCTTGCGAGTGATTCGGCCGGTGGGCCAGACTTGGGAATAGTAGCCCTCTCTGGGCTTGACGTGGGGACAGGGCTGACAGAGGGCTCCGACGAAGGAGGGAGGAGAGGGGGCAGGTCAGCATATACATCCAAAACCTCTCCTTCTAAGTCCAGCAGTCCCAGATACACATTAAGCTCACCCTCAGCCCATAGTACAGGGGGCGGAGCTCCCCTCCGCGCTCTCGCTGTCCACGGCATTCTCCCTCGTGGCAGGTGATGTAGCCGGCTCTTGCACCTAGTCTGACGCCATCAGCAGCTCCGGCTCCGGAGCAGCGATCCTCAGCTCTGTCGCTCCATGCGCCGATGGCTCGTCAGTCGCGGCGGGCTTGGGCTCTCCGTCATCGGTGGGCTCTGGCTTTGGCTCAGCGCAGCAGGGTGATGGTGGGCTGGGCTCTGGGTCCGGAGTGGAATTGGTGAGATCATCCTTGGAACAGACGGTGAACGGAGATCCGTTTCTCGCCAGTATCCACTCACAAAGGTGGCAAAATCCGCTCGAGGGCCATCTTCGGACGACGGCGCACTGCATGCTGGGTTCAGCCTGTCGTCATAGAACGCGCAGAGCGCGTCGTCCTGGTAGCTGGTAAGATGGACGATTTCCAGAAACAATCTGCTATGGACCTCGAGCGATCTCTCCCCCTGCTCCAGCAGGAGGAGGAGATATCCCGGACGGGAGAAGGGGTCGAAGGGATCCATAGGAGACAAACGGGAGAAAAAAAAAACACTGAACAAAACACAGAAACAAAATGGAGGGGAAACACGCAGCTAAGTTTTACTTTTTGTCGGTCGGGTCTTCTGTCACGCACTGTGTCGGAGTAAACGACAGAGACGTAGATTAGAATAAACAGTCTTTAATAAATCCACACAAGGGGCAATCCAAACCAGGAACGGGAGAAGACACATGTACATCACACTGTTAGACCCGACAAAGACAGAACGCACAGACTAGGACTTAAATACATGGGGTAATGAGGACAATTGACAAGACACACCTGAATCACATGAAACCAATCAAACAAGGAAGAAACTGGGTCACGGAGCACATGGGGAGGGAAAACACACCAAAACAGTTCCATAATCCTGACATATATACACTAATTTGCATATTTTTGTTTGTTTGTTTTTGAAACAGAAAAAAGATTAAAAATATTTAAATATTAAAAATATTAATCAACACAACCGTTTAAACATTAATAATAATAATAATAAATAATAATAATTAAATGTTTCTTGAGCATGAAATCAGCAGCAATCATTAGAATGATTTCTGTAAGATCACAAATAAAAAACACTATTGTATATTTAATTTGTAATAATATTTCCCAATTTTACTGCTTTTGACCAAATAAATGTACAAATATATTGAAATTATATGTACTATTATATATTTTATTTAAATTATATATATACTATACTATTTAATATTATATTTATATGGAGCATATAGATCTCAGAAGAGGAGTGACAACTGCAGTGTGTATATGGCCAGAGGGAGATAAAGAGAGAGAGTGATTCTAAAAGAGCAAGATTCTGGCATCTTTTTTGGCACACAGAAAAGGTTAACCAAAGAGAACAAGACAGCAGTGAGAAGGACTTAAATACATGGGGTAATGAGGACAATTGACAAGACACACCTGAATCACATGAAACCAATCAAACAAGGAAGAGGGCGGGTCACGGAGCACATGGGGAGGGAAAACACACCAAAACAGTTCCATAATCCTGACATATATACACTAATTTGCATATTTTTGTTTGTTTGTTTTTGAAAGAAAAAAAGAATACCTTGACAAAACAAATTACAAAAAAAAATAACAGAAAAAAGATTAAAAATATTTAAATATTAAAAATATTAAGCAACACAACCGTTTAAACATTAATAATAATAATAATAATAAATAATAATAATTAAATGTTTCTTGAGCATGAAATCAGCAGCAATCATTAGAATGATTTCTGTAAGATCACAAATAAAAAACACTATTGTATATTTAATTTGTAATAATATTTCCCAATTTTACTGCTTTTGACCAAATAAATGTACAAATATATTGAAATTATATGTACTATTATATATTTTATTTAAATTATATATATACTATACTATTTAATATTATATTTATATGGAGCATATAGATCTCAGAAGAGGAGTGACAACTGCAGTGTGTATATGGCCAGAGGGAGATAAAGAGAGAGAGTGATTCTAAAAGAGCAAGATTCTGGCATCTTTTTTGGCACACAGAAAAGGTTAACCAAAGAGAACAAGACAGCAGTGAGAAAGAAAAGATGGTGTGAGGCCAGTGTCTAGACAGAAAAAAAAACATAACTGAAAGTTAAACAAAGGCAAAAGACAAACCTGTTAGTGAGGTAATGCAACTGTGGAATTAGTTTTATCCTGTAAATGTCCATCTGGCCATAGACATTTTTCAGACGCATCTTGCAGATATGGTCAACTAGAGATAAAACATACAGCAGATATAATTTCCTCAGCACAGCCCCCTCAAGAACACTTAAACGCTCAGAAAGTTTTACTAATGTCATACTAACATTTAATGACCTCCCTTCAACCCGCCCAGGAGGGAAGGAGAAGAATGGAGTAGGAGAAAGAAAAAAAAGGAAGAGGGAGAAACTCTGAAGGTCTTTAACAGACAGCGAGATGTCAGAGCTATTGACAGTGTACTAATACAATGTGCTGAGGCTTATTGAAAAAAGAAAGAACAGATTCTCCATAATAGAGAGAGAGGATGAACGACAGGCAAGTTTTATGCCCTGACCCTTATCCCATAATGCCAAGCACAGATGGACTTTGACAGAGGCAGACCTAAGGTTGTCATCCATTTCTTTGTGTCTCCAAAAGTCACCAAGGCAATAAATAAAGATTGACAGTCAGTCTTTGTAGTGATGCTTCAGGGTGACAAGACACAACATGTAAACACACAGACGCTCATACACACTGAGGCAAGTGCATAACTTGATGTTGAATGTTTTTTTTTTTCTAGCGGAAACTTATTTCATTATGGTGATGAGCAAATGTTGTTTAATGGCTTAAGGTGTTTAATTGTCTTTGGATGATCATTAATTGGTACTGAGAACCACAGTTAAAAGCTTGGTCAAGTTAGTTCTGCTGTCACTAGTAGATTTGATGCTAATTTGAAAGATCCCATCTAATCAAAACCAGTTTTACTACTTATATTATGAATATAGCTTATAGCTTGTCATCTGAATCGTAATTTGATGCCAGCATTGCTAGCAGACAAGACAGTAAAATATTTATTTTATTTTATATTTTATTTTATTTTATTTATTTTATTATGTGTCTCATTTTTATTTTATTTTATTATTAATATACTCTAAAAAATGCTGGGTTAAATATAACCCAGGTTTTGAACCCAACCGCTGGGTCAAAACAACCCAATAGCTGGGTTTCTCCCTTTTTAACCCAGCGCTGGGTTATATAACCCAGCATTTTTTAGAGTGTATGATGAAAGTTGTTTTTATTTTATTATATTTTATTGCTTTGTTATTTTGTTAAATACTATAACTATTACACTGTCTTGTCTGCCTTGCTGCAAGACAGTGGAATAATATATGTATTTATTTTATTTTATTTTATTTTATTATGATGCAAGTCATTTTTATTTTATTTTAGCATTAATATGATGCAAGTCGTTTTAATTTTATTATATTTTATTTCATTTTATTTTATTGCTTTGTTATTTTGCTAAATATTATAAATATTATATTGTCTTGTCTGACTTGCTGCAAGACAGTGGAATAATATATGTATTTTATTTTATTTTAAGGCTGTAAGGTTTGGGGTTCAGATGAGGTCTGCATTGTCATGCCCGCGGTTGTCACGAGACTAGGAGGGTGCAACTCAAATCTGCATCGCTCCCGTGGAGACACTTTGCCACGAGGCATTTGTCAATACTTCTAAAGTCAACATGTCGCTCAAGACGTTTCTCACCAATGGTCCCGTCGGTCAACACTCCACACCAAAATAGACACACTCTCATCTGCAGCTCAAAAGGCTTATGAATGAGCACGCGCAACCGTCCCCGTGCCACACAGAATGCACACGCCTCAAGCTAACATCCCAGTTTTGGAAACAGTGGAAATCCTGTTGGCTACGGCTGGCAGAGCGATGGCAGAACAAAGAGCGAGGTGTAAGGAGATTTCTCCGTTTCTCTTTAATGTGCCTCACCGAATCTGAAAGCTCATTTCACTGGGGTCTGTAATTTCAGGTTTCTGCTGAAACTGTCAGTTTTGGGGGTGTGTGTCACCTTAGGTGCACTGGAGAGAAATTCTCATCCTTCATAACACGTTGAAAAAAGAAGTATTGAGAATCGTTCATCATTTATTTCATATCGAGCAAAATTTCAGACCATCCACACTGATGATTAAAATCTCTCTCTCTCTGAATTGCAGTGCTGTTCAACTTGATTCCTGTGGGTCTGAGGATAGTGGCCATCCAGAGCACCAAGACAGGACTCTACATAGGCATGAACAGCGAGGGCTACCTCTACACATCAGTAAGTCTACAGCATAATCATCAATAGGTTACAAATCTTTCCAGACCTGTCCTAACACATCTTATCATGTTAAAGATGTCAGCGCCATGCAGTAGAGGCCACCAGTGAAAAAGCTTTTATTCTGCAGATTTCTAAACCAAATACTGTTGAATTGAAAATTGTTTTAATGACAGCAGAATCAAATGTACAGCAATATTACATTTTCTCATATTTACTTTTTATTTATTATAAACTTACATGCTACTACAAATCTTTCCAGACCTGTCCTAACACATCTTATCATGTTAAAGATGTCAGCGCCATGCAGTAGAGGCCACCAGTGAAAAAGCTTTTATTCTGCAGATTTCTAAACCAAATACTGTTGAATTGAAAATTGTTTTAATGACAGCAGAATCAAATGTACAGTAATATTACATTTTCTCATATTTACTTTTTATTTATTATAAACTTACATGCTACCAGTCAAAAGTTTGGAATGAATGATTTTTGTTGTGTTTTTGTTTTGTTTCCGTTATGCTCACCAATGCTGCATTTATTTGATCAAAAATACAATACAAAAAAAATAATAGTGTAATATTATTACAAAATTGTATTTCAAAATATTTTAACATGTAGTTTTTTCCTGTGATGGCATAGTTTCAGTTTCTTTTTTTTAGCATGCATTACTCCAGTTTTCAGTGTCACATAATCCCTCAGAAATCATTCTCATTTATTCCACGTTTGATCGGTAGTGTGTATAAAAATTATAAATCTTATTCTATTTCATAAATGATTTGAAAATAGCCTTAATTATTAGAATCGTAAATATTTCTTATTCATTTTATTTTATAATGTCCCTTTGTATAAAAGTTTTTAAAATCCTAAAACTGAAGATTTTAAATCCCAGATTTTAATGATGTCTCAGACATTGGGTCTCCACTGCATTATATGCTCAAGGAAACCTTACACAGTACAACATGCTCTTTGATTATGTATCAGGTGCTACTAATGAAGTTAACTGTTGTGTGCGTTTGTCCTCAGACAGTGAGTGTGAGTACTGTTGGCCTCAGTTCTCTGTGACACACTCCATTAATCTGGCCTATTTCTCTCTACCAGTTAAACTCTTGTGCGAAAGACATGCTTCTGCTAAGAGATGCATTGCTTTGCAGTGTACAGTAGAGCAGCCTTTCTTCTCTCTTCTCTCTATTGTCTGATCCACTCGCTCTTATTTGGAGAAGAAAAGAGTATTCTTTTCATCTTTGAAATTCATAACACTAAAGTAAGATGATTAGTCTAAGAGTGGTGTATAGGCCTACATGATGTACTGTGCCCCCATAAAGTGCACTTAAAATGTATGAATTATTACATTGCATGGATATCAGAATATCAAACCAAATTCTATCTGCACACAAATACAGTGATGTTAGATTTCAAAAAGATCTCCACTTCTCTTAGCTATGCGTCTTCTAAAGTACTGGTCTCAAAGTTATTTTTTTAAGATCCACTAAGTCTGGCAACCAGAAAGTGCTCAAATATTTTTCATGTTTAAATTCTGAACTGCATATCTGTTCTTTTGTACTTTAAATCCAATAGCATTTTTGTCACGTTTGTAAAAGTGTGTTTGTGTTTTCTTTAAAATAAACACTACTTTTACACTACGTTTGTGTGTGTGTGTGTGTGATGCAATTTATTTTTTCACATTCATGCATAAATATGTATAAAATAAAATGAATCATATAAACATTTTTATGTTTTAAAAGCTATGGTAACGTAAACAATTTGTGAGATAAACAAAAAAATTATATTTATATCAGTTATTACACAAATTACAACTGTCCCTAAGTTGTGATCTCAATAAGCAACTCATTTACTTCTCTATCATGTATCCCGCTCTCACACAAAGGAGCACAAATGCACTTTCTATCTCTTTTTTTCTCTACTCCTGTAAGGAGAGCATCTGTAGAGAATGTGTTCTCCTCATGGGAAGAAAGTCGACCCATTTTCCACAGAGGGAAATGACCATACCTGAAAAAAGAGAGAAAATCCCTATCCTTGAAAACCTCATGCAGAGCGACCTCTTTTCTTTCTTTTCTCTCTTCTCTGCCTTAGTCTGAAGCGTTGAAACCGCTCTACCTGTGTCCTAACTTTCATTCCTAACTTTTATCTTTTTTTAGCATGATATTTTAAACCAAAGAGACTAGTGTGAAGCCAGTGAAGCATGCCACAAGACGCAGTGCAAACACAAAACAGGAGACAGCTTGCTCCTGAACTTTAAAATATTCTGAAACAATAGAACCAAAACACATATTGTTGACTTTTGAAATGTTATGTGAGGAATGTTTTCCTCCACTGTACCCTACTGTTTTAGCCTGTATGTAGTAGGGAAGCAAACATATTTGAACACAGGGTTAGTCTTAATAATCACTTCAAGAATTCAGGTTTGGTGGCAAATCTCCAAACATTTTAACTTTAAGACAATTAAGACCCCTTGTGAAAATTAAACAAGTATACTTTCCTATTTTTAGTTTAAAAGAAGTATACTAATAGCACACTTGAATAAACTTATTTTTCGTAAGGGTTAATATGTGGTTACCATGGTTTAACTATAGTAACCATGTTTTTTTGGTTGTATTTTTAGTAAAACCATGGTTAATTTTCTCAAGGGACATTAGCCACAGTTCTGTGCAAAAATTTACCACAATCAATGTAAACTGCAATTACCAGCAAGCAATATTTTGTACCTTTTACATGGTTAAAATCTGCTGGCCGTATATTTTTAGAAAGCAAATGTGTTAGCAATTACTTAAAGGACTAGTTCAACTAAAAGTGAAAATTCTGCCATTATTTACCCCTGTGTGTTGTTCCAAATCTGTATGACTTTATGGAAGTGAAATCTTACATGTTTTTGCAAGTTGAAATTATGGCAACAGAAGTTTCTTTTGGGTGAACTAATGCTTTGAAAGTGAGTTCTGAAGGCTTTGATATGTGTATGGTTTGACAGATCTCTCAGATTCTTCTCTCACACACACCAGTTATTGGTTAATGAATGTGCTACAGTAGGTGGAGTCTTGTAGACACTTAAGTGAGTAAGTGAGTGTTACCTTATTTTCCACTAAAATTCCACTAATATTTTCCAGAGCTGGAATAAGAAGGTGCAAGTGTTTGTGTGTGTGTTGCATAACGGGATTCGTTCACGCTCTGCCACAAATGCACCTCTGTGTGCATGTGTTGTAAGATCAGATGTCCCTGAACACATGGCCTCTCTCTGTCACACATACCTGCCCTAAACTCTGAGCCTATCAATAATTCATGTTTTCCAGTGGCTGACACACTCGGACACGGCCCTCCACGGGGACTAAATCATTCACACACACCTACAGCCTCTTCTCTCTCTCTTCTTCATGCTCGTTCAACTTCTACTACCTCAGTCATGCTCTCATCCTGTATTCTTGCAGGTCTCTCGTTCTCCTCTTACCGTCTTTATTTACTGTCACACAACTATGTTGTTGCCAAGATGATTTTAAGATTGTTACTATGCAGATGCTAGAGTGTTCTGAGTGCTGTGTTCTACTGTTGCTATGTGGTTGTTAAACTAGTGGTTCCTATCCTTTTTGATTCCCCCCATTGTCCGCAACAATATTGGAAGGCCCCATAACTTTTCCAGCTGTTCATAATTTACTGGGTTTTATTCGCAATTTCTGCCTGATAAAATATTTTAGAGCTTGGCATAACTAGAAATCTATATCCATAATGAAATTGCCCATTGAATTTTAAGATGTTATTAATTTACATTAAATTAACCAGATTGTTCGAGAATGTGGTACATTTCGAAACCTGGATCTTCAAAGCCAATATATATATAGTATAGTATGTGTCACAGATATGAACTATTGTTGTGAATGCTTATGTTCCCTTCTGTCTTGGATTAACCTTCATTGTCTGCAGATCTTAATAAAAGTCTAAATTGTATTATCTTCTTGACGTAAGCGTGACAGAATAACCGGCCGACAAAAAAGTGTAAGCGGCGAGTTCCTTGTTTCATTTTTTTTTTAACTTTTTCTTTTTTTTTTTTAATGGATTCCCCCGCTGTCGTCCTTCTCCTGCTGGAGCAGGGGGAGTTCACCCTCGAGGACCACACACGGATGTTCGTGGAACTCTCTAACTTCACACACTACCCGGACAACTGCCTGTGTACCTTCTACAAGGCAAGCCTCAACACCGCAACACAGGCCAAGTTGTCTGGGTATGGTCCTCGGGGGAGTTTCGCCACTTTTGTGGAGTGGGTGCTGGAGAGTAATGGACTACATTTCTCCGTCTGCCCCGTTGAGGAGGATATCTCCAGCCCCACTCCCGACCCAGAGCCCAGCCCACCATCACCCCACTGTGCGGAGCAATTGCCTGAGCCCACCGCTGACGGAGAGCCAGAGCCCGCCGCGACCGACGAGCCATCGCCTGAAAGAGCGACAGAGCTGAGGATCACCCCGTAGCTAGAGTCTGAGACGTCAGACCAGGTGCGAGAGCTGGCAACTGTGCACGCGCTGGTGGATGATGCAAGGGAGCACGAGGGCTTAGAGGAAAGCCCCGCCCACTGCACCACCGCTGAGGGTGAGCTGCTGCTGGACTCTGTGGACTTAATTGAATCTGATTTGGATTTATATGCGAACATGCCCATTCTTCTCCCACCATCTTATGAACTGTCAGTCTGCCCTGAACTATCTGTCTGTCCTGTTTCCGACGCCTCGCGACTCCACTCCTCCGGCTACACCTCATCCCTCCGGCTCTGTCAGGCTCCTCCATCCCTCCAGCTCTACCTTGGTCCTCTGTCACTCCGGTTCCACCGCGGCCTTCCAGATCTCCGCCTCCACCTCAGTCGCCTGAGCCATCTGCTCCTCCCTGTCGCCCTGGCTCATCGGCTCTCCGTCTCGGGCTCCACCTCCACCTGCTCCGCCGCCGTTGGTCGGCCCCCTGGAGTCATCAGCACTTCCTCCTCCATGGCTCCTCCACCATCAGAGCTACCTTGG